GGCCCCATTGTCCCAGCACACCTGTGCAACCCTTTCAGACCAGTGAAGTCACAGCACTGGGGAATGCTGGGACTGACTCCAAGGCTCCGCCCATGGCCCTCCCCCACCTCCCACCTGTGTGCACTGGGCAGCCCCTGCAGAGGGTTTTCACAGGATGGACACCCCATCAGGGGTGGAACCAGGTACAGCCACGTAGTCATAGTCCTGGAATGAATCAGGACCTGCATAAAACAGGGGTCCCGTGTATAAAACGGGTCTTACCCTGAATTGGAAGGGAGAACATTGTGTTCTTTTATTCCAGAAGCATGGTTTGGGCATCTGTTCAGGCCCTAGAATTCTCACTGAAATTCTGAAATGGAGATGTTAAAGGATTTGCACCCCCATCAACCCCAAAATAAACATTACTGTCCTCATTTTTCAGATAAGGAGGCAGGTTCTAAGAGGTAAGCTCACCAGGGCTTCTCTGACCCTACCTCAGCCCCTCTTCTGACTAACCCACACCTAGCATTTATCCCAGGGATGCACCTGCTGTAAACTGGGGCCCCTTGAGGGCAGGGACCCTGGCTGCTGTTTGCCCAGTGTGAGTCAGGCTGACTGGCTGCTAAGGACTTGTTAATATAAAACCACTGTGAGGTCCCAAGCCCAGGTTCCCATGGGTGTGGAGGATTGCAACTGGAGTTCAAATCCAGAGCCTTCTCCCTTTGCACCACTTAAGAGAAATCGTGGAGGGGAATGGGTTGGGGGGTGGTGAGAAGGAGGAGAAGAGTGGGGGAGGGAGTGGACAAGGCAGGAGCAGTGGGGATGAGAGCAGGGGCTGGGCACCAAGAGGGCTCAGAGGTGGCCTCCCGGTGGACGGATGCGCATTCATACGGAAGGGAGCAGGTGTGAGCTGGGATAACAAGCTTGGGTTGGGGCCTTTTGCATCAAAGGTGATTATGGGACATCAAGGGGACAATTGACTTATGGATCTGGTTCTCTGGAAAGAGAGTCAAGTTTGAGAGAAAGAGGGATTTGGGAACCAGCAGCCTTGGCTGTACAATTGGATGGAATAGGAGGGCAAGTCAGATCCTTACCCACGGAGAAGGAGCCACAGCCCTGAAAGAGGAGATTCTGGGTCAGGCTGCCAGCTTCAGAAGGGTTAAGTCACAAGCCCCCACCCTCCCCACAACCCTCCCCTCAGGAGCCAGTGGTGACAGCTTGGGATTTGGGGACTGGACTCAGGAACAGGAGTCCAGGTTGAGACCAAGGGTGACATTGCAGTCTAGGACCTAATTCTAGAATCTGGATTTGGGGTTGGGCTGAGGAGTCAGAGCTGAGGTTTCCGGCCAGATTTGGGTTTGGGGTTTGGAGCTGGGACTGGAATTATATTTGGAAGTGGGACTGGGGGTAGAGACTGCGATTCAGGATTCAGGGTTGGGGCTGCCATGTCAGGCAGGTGCTGCAGTTGGAGCTAGAATTTCTAGTTAGGGTTTGAAACTGAAGCTGGGGCTGCAGCTGGGTTCAGGGGTGGAGCTGAAGGTGGGGTTGGAGCTGGGGGCCAGGTGGTGTCCTAGGTTCTGGGACAGATAAAGCAATTTTCCTCCCACTGCTCAGGTCTGGGAATTGTGCTCAAGCCTTAACAGTGGCTGACAGAAGCCCCTCCCTTCCCAGGAATGCCTCTGCCCAGCAGAAGGAGCTGTGTGCCACGTCAGCCAATCAGCTCGAGCCCTGCCTTGGAGACACCTGTTGATCCCCTCCCTGTCAGGGCTCACCTGGGTGCAGGTTAGGCAGGTGAAGCACCTCCCCCGGAAACGGAGTTAGAGCACACCACCTGCCTGGCCCTGGCTGCTCTGCTCGAATGGGATCCAGCACTTCCAGGCTTCTTGTGAGTGCCCCTTGGTCCCGCTACCCCCACCACCCCCTCCTTCTCCCGCGGGTTCTTCCCATGAGAACCTCCACCCTACCCCCAGCCTGGCCCCATTGTCCCAGCACACCTGTGCAACCCTTTCAGACCAGTGAAGTCACAGCACTGGGGAATGCTGGGACTGACTCCAAGGCTCCGCCCATGGCCCTCCCCCACCTCCCACCTGTGTGCACTGGGCAGCCCCTGCAGAGGGTTTTCACAGGATGGACACCCCATCAGGGGTGGAACCAGGTACAGCCACGTAGTCATAGTCCTGGAATGAATCAGGACCTGCATAAAACAGGGGTCCCGTGTATAAAACGGGTCTTATCCTGAATTGGAAGGGAGAACATTGTGTTCTTTTATTCCAGAAGCATGGTTTGGGCATCTGTTCAGGCCCTAGAATTCTCACTGAAATTCTGAAATGGAGATGTTAAAGGATTTGCACCCCCATCAACCCCAAAATAAACATTACTGTCCTCATTTTTCAGATAAGGAGGCAGGTTCTAAGAGGTAAGCTCACCAGGGCTTCTCTGACCCTACCTCAGCCCCTCTTCTGACTAACCCACACCTAGCATTTATCCCAGGGATGCACCTGCTGTAAACTGGGGCCCCTTGAGGGCAGGGACCCTGGCTGCTGTTTGCCCAGTGTGAGTCAGGCTGACTGGCTGCTAAGGACTTGTTAATATAAAACCACTGTGAGGTCCCAAGCCCAGGTTCCCATGGGTGTGGAGGATTGCAACTGGAGTTCAAATCCAGAGCCTTCTCCCTTTGCACCACTTAAGAGAAATCGTGGAGGGGAATGGGTTGGGGGGTGGTGAGAAGGAGGAGAAGAGTGGGGGAGGGAGTGGACAAGGCAGGAGCAGTGGGGATGAGAGCAGGGGCTGGGCACCAAGAGGGCTCAGAGGTGGCCTCCCGGTGGACGGATGCGCATTCATACGGAAGGGAGCAGGTGTGAGCTGGGATAACAAGCTTGGGTTGGGGCCTTTTGCATCAAAGGTGATTATGGGACATCAAGGGGACAATTGACTTATGGATCTGGTTCTCTGGAAAGAGAGTCAAGTTTGAGAGAAAGAGGGATTTGGGAACCAGCAGCCTTGGCTGTACAATTGGATGGAATAGGAGGGCAAGTCAGATCCTTACCCACGGAGAAGGAGCCACAGCCCTGAAAGAGGAGATTCTGGGTCAGGCTGCCAGCTTCAGAAGGGTTAAGTCACAAGCCCCCACCCTCCCCACAACCCTCCCCTCAGGAGCCAGTGGTGACAGCGGGGGCCATGTGAGTCGGATCCTGAATGAGGCTTTATCTCTGGCGCTTCATCCCATCGTCCACCGTGGCACCAGCTTCCCCAGCCAGCCGGGATGGGACAGGCAACTGAGAGAGCCAGAGCCAGAGAGGTTAGGGGCTGGGCAAGGGGCTCCCTGGGGGGCCGGGGGGTATTTTGTGGAGGGGGACCTCTCCTGGGGTCCCTGGAGAGGCATTCCTGAGGGGCAGTGCTGCAGAGGGGGTATTCCGGGGGCACTGGGGAGGAGTCCCAGGGGTCATTCCCAAGGCTCCCCAGGGACACTGTGAGGGGCAGGTGGGCAGGGGAGATAACAAGTGTGATTGCCCCCCACAGGTGATGGTGATCATACCCTGGACCGTGAGAGAAGCGGGACTCTGGGCCTCTAGATGCCAAGCAGGTGGAGGGGGCTCCAGGCTCTGATCTGCACTCTGTAACCTCCGACACTGACCTCTGTCCTCCGCCCTGGCCCCTACCATGTCTGAAAGAGAGGCTCAAGCCCCGCCGGGCCAGGGGCTGCCCCCAGACATGCTGGCAGAGCAGGTAGAGCTGTGGTGGTCCCAGCAGCCACGGCGCTCAGTGCTCTGCTTCACCGTGGCCGTGGGCCTTGTGGCAGGCTGTGGGGCAGGTGGCGTGGCACTGCTCTCCTCCACCAGCAGCCGCTCAGGTGAGTGGCGGCTGGCAACGGGCACTGTGCTCTGCCTGCTGGCCCTGCTGGTTCTGGCTAAGCAGCTGATGAGCTCAGCTGTGCAGGACATGAACTGCATACGCCAGCCCCACCACGTGGCCCTGCTGCGCAGTGGCGGGGGTGCCGATGCCCTTGTGGTGCTGCTCAGTGGCCTGGTGGTGCTGGTCACCGGCCTGACATTGGCTGGGCTGGCTGCCGCCCCTGGCCCCACCCGGCCCCTGTCCACCATGCTGTCCGTCGGCATTGCCCTGGCTGCCTCCGGCTTGCTTTTGCTGCTGGGCTTACTGCTGTATCAGGTGGGCGTGAGTGGATACTGCCCCCCGATCTGCGCAGCCACCCCCTCCACCCACAGGCACCACAGTGGCAATGGCAGTGTCTTCAGTGTCTCAGGACAGTTGTCTGCTGGCCAGCGTCATGAGACCACATCCAGCATCGCCAGCCTCATCTGACTGAGCCGGAGCCCGCCCTTCCCGCTGCCTCCACAGCCACAGACCTGTGCAGGATGTGAGCGTGTGAATGAGTGAGTGAGCATGAAGGGGAGTGGAGGCGAGTGTGTTCCCAGCACTGCCCAGCCCCTCAGAGGGGTTATGTGATGTGTGACGAAGAGCCAGTGCATAACCACACGTCCACGCGGGAGGGTGAGTGTGTGTAAGTGTGTGTCTGCTTGGAACTGGGTGTTTATGTCCACGGAACTGTCAGAGCCTGCCTGTCCATATCGGGTGTCTAGGCAGAGGCGTGTCTGGGATCCCTGAAGATTCTTGGCCCCTGTGCCCAGTACTCCACCAATCCAACCTGCCCAATGATACCCCCCAGGGACCCTCCAGGGGTGAGTGCTGCCCACCCAGAGATTGCGCCCATGAGCACTCACTGAGGAGAGTGGCTGGTGGTGAAGTGGGGAGCGCATGGGCTCTGGACTATGGCAGCCTGGACTGGAATCCCCCTCTGCCACTCCCAGCTCGGGGTGGGCAGGTGACTTCACCTCTCGGAGCCTCAGTTTCTTGAGTCATGGTGGTGGTCGTGGTCATCGGTTATGAGGATCAAGTGACTGTACGGAAGGACTGGGCACATGGCAGATGTGCAATAAAAGTGGTGGCTGCTCTAATTGTTATTGTCTTTGTCTCACCATCCCACCTAGAGGCCCCTCCTTCCCCCTTCCCCAACTCCCACCCCTTCCAAAGTGAACACTTTGTGCCTCTCTCAGGCTGACAAAAGGTACCTGGAAGGTGTCCTCAGTCAGGCCTGTGGCTTCTCCTCACAGGTACTATGAAGCTGGAGGCGAGGTGGGGTGTGGGGATCCCAGCTTTGGGTAGGTGGTGGGTTTCTGGTCCCAGGGAACAGGCAGGGGAGAGGGACCTAAGTCCTTCAAAGGTGCTCATGTCCTGGTTCAAGATGAAGCCTTAAGTAGTGGGGTTTGAGCAGCTGGTTTCTCTGGAGGCTGCAGCTCCCTACCCCACCACTGAAACCAGAACATCCTGGTCTGCGTAGTTGTTGCACCAGCCGGCCTCCCTCTGGGCTCCTGGGCATGGAAGAGGTGTTTGACACCCTCCTGGGGGGTAAGAGTCACTTCCTGCTTGGGTCAGCCCTGGAAGGGATCTCCCCCTCCAAAGGACACTTCCTGGTGGCAAGGAGAAAGTTCCACTGGAAGAGCATCAAGAGTGTGGATTACTGTTTCATCACTTCCTGCTTCACAAGGTGTGGATGACGCGGAGCCAGGGAAGCCAGCCACATCTCCTAAGAGGCATTAAACACAGAGCTACAGAGGCTCTGGCGAGAGAATATTGCTTTCAGCTGCCAAGATCAGGGCAGTCTCCTGGAGAAAACACTGAGCTGATGGTTCAGGGAAGGTGTTGCCAACCAAGGGAGGGGGGCGATGTGAGTGGAAGAATAGGGCAGGGCCAGGAGCGCCGAACACAGCAGGAACCTCTTCCAGGCACCCCACACACTGAATCCCTCTCCTCTCTACTGCAACTAGCTCCTCCTCCGACTCACCTGGAGGTATCACCACTCACCCAGCGTCTGGGTTAGAAACCTGGGAGTGGTCCCAGCCAGCCCTCACCACCTCCTCACCTGTTTCCAGTAAATACACCACCAGCTCCTGCGGATTCCTGCACAGACATCCATGTGGTCACCATACCTCCATGCTCACTGCCAGACGGCTCTCTGCGTCTGTGCCCAATTTCTGCAGCAAGCCTCTAGACTATTTGCCCTGCTTCTGCTCTGTTCTCCTCTTAAACCCATCTCCATGCAACCCCAACACATACACTGAAGCCAGAGTGGCTGCGTTGGGGGAGGTCACCCAGAGGACACAACCACCAGTTGATCCATGAGCTGACCCAGGCAATCCGAGGCCCCTCACCTGCTCCTCTGGCCTTAGAATGTGGGTTCTGTCTGCCTTCTCTGCTCCGAGAGGTTGCCCCAAGGGTACGCCCTTGAGCTTTTGATGTGGTGTTGAGACCATCTGGATGGTATATGTGCCTCAACTCAGTTAAAGCTTCTATATAAACTTCTAAGATTTGGAGAGGGGTGGACGCAGAGATCTACACATCTGTGGCCACCCAAGATAGCCTCCTAAGTAAGTTCCCTTGCTTATTAAACCTGCCACCTCCCCCTCTAGGCAGGTCTGCCTCCTTTTTGGTCTGTCCCTGCCCTCTGTGTACAGGAGTCAGTTTCTGATTATACCTGGGAAGCTCTCAAGGTTTCAACTCAGCACTATCCTGAAATAAAAGTACAAATTTACCTTAAAATCCTTCCATGCCCCCATGCCCACCTCTTGCAGGCTAACATGCAGACTCCTTAACATGACTTGGCCTCTCTCTCCACTCAAACACCCCTGACCCCACGACACGGAACTATTGCCGTGCCTTCACCCTTTCCTCTCCCTTCCCCTTGCCTTCATAGCCTTCCAGACCCAGTTCTCCAGGAGCCACAGTCTCTGGGAATCCTCCCGGACTCTGTTCCCTTAAATTAATGAGTTGCCCCTTCTCTGTGCCCACGCCCTCGATGGCAGACACCAGTCTGCAGTCCTCTCTATGTGCCTGTCTCCTTAATCAGGTAGGGAGTTCCTCCTGGCAGTTTGGGTCTTGCTCGTCTGTATATACCCTGGTCACTACACGGGCCAGGCACACAGTAGGTGGATGGATGAAAGGCCTAGCTTGGTCAGGTAGCCGTGTGTATGTGAGGGTCAGGGGGGGACCGTCTACACCTGGGAAGAGAAGGGAAGCCAAGCCACAGTCCACTGTTGGCCCTGACTCGGTCCCTGCTGAGGCCTCCACTACCTGTCCCAGAAGTTCTCGCTCACCCTGGGTTCCTCCAAGAGGAAACTCTCCAGAGCCATTAGAGGGCCACAGAGCACCTCTCCATCCTGAAATATGGAGAGAAATTTATTTCTTTTCAAAGGATATGGGGTTAGACCCTTTCACATGATCTCTTTTAAGACACTAAAGGAAAATTTAACACAGGGGCCTAGAAAATGGGGGACAGGATGGGCTGTAGCACAGCCATTTGGGAGAGCAGCTACTGCAGGCAAGGCCAGCCTCCGGCTCTCTTGGAGAGGGTGCCAGGTGGAGAATGTCCCCAGAGGGCCTGTTCCAAAGGGCAGAGGAAGTCAGCATCTACACGCCCAGCTGTAACATTACACACGCTGGTGTGACCTGGGTCGAGGCACGGGGAGGCCAGAAATGCTACTGCTTCCTCATCCACCAAAGCCACCTCCCCACAGCATCACCCCCAGCCTGCTGTTTGCTCCAAGCATCCCCCTAAACCCCATCCATGCTGCGCCTGGCCATCCACTGGCCCCTCCACTCTCTCTAAAGCTGCCCCCTCCTGTCTTCACCTCCTCTCTCATTAAGGTTCTGTGAGCCATCATCTCACCAACTCCTTGACAGAACCCCCAGCTCATTAGCCTTCTGCCCTTTGGTCCCACCCTCCCAGCCAAAACTTTTCCACGGATGAGCCCACCCACCTGCCTGTGCAGCACCTGCTGCCTCACAGTGAGTGGTTATTAGAGACCCACCGCTAGGCAGCCTGGTGTCACCGCGAATCCCCATCACCAGTCTCAACTGGGTCTCAACACTCGCTGCCATCAGCTGCTGCTCCATAGCAACCCCCAAGCTCTCTTCACTCCCTTCACACTCCAGCATCTCCCCCCACCACCACTCTCTGCAGGCCACTTGGCCTCCCTCATCATGAGAAAATGAGGCTCATGTGTCGAAAAGCCTTTGTTTTGGCTCCTATCAAATCACGCTCCCCTTACACCTGTCTGTCAAATGGCCTTGTCAGCCCAGCTGAGGAATTTGGACTTTGTCCTCAAGACACTGAGAAACATGAAAGATTTTAATCAGGGGAGCCCTCAGGACAGAATAGGATCTGACAATCTCTGGCTGCAGCATGTAGCCGAGGATTGGCCTTGGGAGACAAAGAAGAAAGAAATGTGCAAACAGCCCCAGAAGTGCCATCTCAGCTGGACTCTGAGGAATGAGAAGCAGCTGGCTAAGCCAGAGGTGGAGAAGAAGGAGTACCTGAGAAAGGGGGACAGCGGGAGCAGGCCCAGAGATGAGAGAGGAACCGTGAGGGGTTTGTGTGGTGGACCATGGGTATTAGCTGGCAGGAGCAAGGGGTGCAGCTAGGGAGGAGCCTGGGGCCAGTCCTGGGCTTCAGAGGCTCCTTAACAGGTGGCAAGGCTTTTTAAGGCAAAGAGGAAGCCAGTGAAGGATTTTAAGCAGAGGAACAGCCTGGTGAGGGCTGTGTTTTAGGACAGTCATTCTGCCCACAGCATAGACTATTAATTAAAAGGGGCAAAAGTGGAGGCAGGGAAGTCAGCTGGTTGATTAATGCCATCTCAAGATGTGAGATGACACAGTTTAGACTAGGGGGTGGCTGCTGGGACAGAGGGGAATAGAACAGATTGGATGGATTTCCAGAAGGTGGGACTCACAAGTCTGTGACTAACTGAGGAGCTTTTTAAGACATGAGAGATGTGACTGGCTAATGTTGATAGAAAGAGCAGCTTTGGATACAAGGTGGAGAAGAGGCAGTTCTTAGTTTAAGAGTTCCAGAGTGGGGAGGTGGGGAGGGTGGATCCTGGGCACAAGATGGAGGGATCGGGCTTATGGTCCTGTGGATAAAATGAGAGTTCCTGTGGCCAGGATTCTCACCTGGCCCTGGTTTGCTAGCTCACTGCACACCTGTGGGCACTACATGGCTGTTGACTCTATAAAAAGAGCTCCGCCCAGTGCTCTGGGCATGATACCGTGGCAGGGCTGCAAGGCTGCAGGAGAGCAGAGCAGAGGCTGGAATGGTGGCAGCACCGAGGACAGAGGCCCAGAGGCAGAGACCGGCTTGCTGTATGCAGACTCGCTCTCAGTGGACGGGATTCTAGTGACTGACCTGCCACCTGGAAATAAAGTTGGGTATAACCCTATCACCTTAAGAACGTTTGTTGTCAATTTCTTTGGTCACATTGAATCCATAGCGAACTTGCCCAGGGCTGAAACCCATTGGCAAGACAGGTGCCATCTGATAGGAGAGAGGGAAGAATGTAGAGATGGGAAGGTAGATCTGTGGGGTTTGGAGCAGGAAGTTGAGGGAGGCTCTGACCAACCACCATCCTCTTTGTGAGGCAGAAGCTGTTCTAAAGAGCTGCTGTGGAGAACGGGAGGGGGATCTGGCCAAGAAAACTGCAAGACTGCAAAGCTTTGAGAGCCCACAGTGGGCAGGAGACCAGGCAAGCATTAACAGAGGAGCAGGCCCAGTTGGTGGTGGGGTTTTCTCGATAGCACAGAGGGAACCGTTCCTCACAGGAATCCAGAGAGGCCTCTTAGGACAGGGTCTGATCTTCGCATGACTCCGCAGCTCTGCCAGTCCAGGCGTAACACCCAGGTCCTAACAGGAAGCCCTCCCTGCCGGCCCTTGCTGGCTGCTGGACACAGGAAGAGTGACTCTGACCTGCCAGTAGGCCCTTACCTTCTCTTGAACCCCTCAGAGGTTCTGACTCAAGTCCCAAAGAATATGTGACAATGAGGACAGCCAGGCCGCTTTCTGGCCCAGGGCTGCAGGCAGAGCAGCCCCTCCAGGTGGGCACAGCAGCGCATGAGGGCAAGCAACAAGCCTAAATGTGTTGGCAGCAGCATTGCCCTCTGAGGCCAAGATGCACCCCCTCAGCCCCTTAGTTCCTCTGATGAAGGTCATGGTTTGGGGCAGCCTCTGCTGCTGTCTGCCGCACAGCGACTTCCCGGCCCCCTGAGGATCTCACTGTGTCTGGACTCAAGAGCTATTGCTGGGCTTGTTCCCTGCCATGTCCTCCCAATGACAAGTCCTTGGATGTCAGTGTTCCTCCACGTGGTCCTCAACCTCCTCAACTCCACCCCTGCCTGTTGACCCAATTCCCTCCACAGTCTCAGGGCCCCTGTTGCCCACTAGTCCCACACCCGCATCTGCAGACTGGGCTTCTCCCCTGTGAATCTGGCTGTCCTTGGACATCCGCCCGTGGAAATCCTTCATCCTGCACTGAGTCCTAGTTCCCCAAAACCCTGCCCCTCTCAGTAAGCCCAGCCATCCAGCAAGGAACGAGGGCAGCTCCTTGGCTCCTTTCCACTCCCTTTACAAGTCCCGTCAACACCCGCTCCTTCGTACTGGATTCTCGGTTTCCGATGCCACACCTCGGTGGGTCTTACCCCTGTCTCCAGGCCTCTGCCCTCCAGTCTGTCCCCACACAGCGACCCCACTGACTTCCCCATCATGACAGCACCACTTCCTTGCCACAGATGAGCCTCAGCTGCTCTCAGGTCGAAGTGCAAGCTCTCTATCTTGGCGCCGAAGCCCTCGCTGACCCAGTGCATGGTTCAGCCTTGCCATTGTCACCCCCTAACCTACTGCGGCCTGGACGGCCCCCTGCCCTTTTCTCAGCCTTGGCCCTCATTAGTCTGCTCCTTGCTTTCCTCCTCTGCTGGCTCTTTCCTCAAAGGCTAACGCTGCCAGTGGGTAGACCCACATGGAGTGACCACCTGCTGCATGATCACTTCCCCTTGTCTGGAATAACCTGGAACAAACGGGCTCCCCAAATCACATATGCCCTATAGGACCCTACCCCCACTGCTCATAGCTGACTGGACCAGAGGGATACTTGACCCAAACTGGGCCAATTAGATTCTATCACCTGAGTACCTGAAACCCAGAATCAAGAATGTGGGAGTCCCAGGAATGGAGTCCCTTAATGCCCAGTAGTGACAAAGTGTTTAGAGGTACCAGGCTCGACCTCAGGCTGCGTGGGACCACCTGCTTTCTGCCCTTCTGCAGCAGCTGTTCCTGTATTTCACCCCAAAACTCCTTTCCATTGACTGCAACCAAAAGAAACTTAAGTGTCTCCCTTCTTAAAACTGTCTCCCTTCCTCAGTCTCCCCACCAGCAACTGTGACCTGGCCTTCTCTTTGTCAAGATTCTTGATAAAGTCTCCTGCATTCAACTCCACCTTCTCACCTTCCATCGGCTCACTCCTCAGCCCACAGTAATTCAACAAATGCCACAAATATTTACTTAGCATCCGCTGCATGTGAGACTGAGGATACAGAATGAGGCACAGCTTGTGGCCTCAGAGCTCACAGTCCAGCTGTGGGGCAGGCACGGTAAAGGGTAAGTGCAAATCATCATAAAGGTTAAAATAATCCTGGCAAGGAAGTGACAGAGAAACTCAGAGGGTTATGAGAGAGAGGAACTCACAGACGCGGGGCTGTTGGAGCAAAGCCTTCCAGCTATGAGCAACAAGGAACATTTTTATGCAGAAATTCCAATTCAGGACAATAAAAAAGAACAACTCCTTCGTACTTTTATTAATACTTGTGAAAAATGTAATAGAACCATTTGGATTACCCACTTTATTGACAGGAGACATTTCAGTAGGAAAGTCGGCACATTGTTTTTTACCTGCTAAAATGTTACCATCTGACCACATGTGAAATGCTGGCAGGTAGGCAGACCACATGGGGCCTATGGGCCATGGATCTTCCTCACTGCCCTAGGGGCCCTGGGGAAATGGAAGGGTGGCCTTGGCTGGGGGAGAGTGTGGGCCAAGGTATGGGAGAAACAGCAGGACAGGAGAGGGGGGATAACAAACAGTTGGGTGAGCAGGAAGCAAAAGGAGGGAAAAGAAGGAGAGGACAACAAGAGGCTGGCAGAGGTCTTACTCCTGTAGTCAGCCCCTTGGTAGGCTTTATCCTGAGAACAGCAGGGAGCCACCGAGGGTCACTGAGCAAGAGAAGGTCGTTGTCACTTCAGTGGCTAGTGCCAGAGAAAGGAGGGGTGCTCCAGCCCTGGTCGGCCCTGCGGCCCCTGGCTCCCATGTAGTGTGTGCTAACTCAAGCTGTCGGGCATGGGGCCAGCAGAGTGTCCAGAGATCAGGACTCAGAGGGAGAAGTGCTCCCTGCCACCCTCCGTGCCCAGCCCGCCGGCCCCAGGCTGAATGTAGTTGTCCTCAATAAAGCCGTCATCCTCCTCCTCTTCACCCCCCTCAGGGCAGACCCCGGCCCCTGTCCCGGGCAGCGGGCGGTGCTGGTAGCTGGTGCGGTATTTGTGGCAGAGGTGGCACTTGGCAGCCAGGGCGATGAGGAGAGAGAGGACCACAGCCCCCAGCACTACCCCTACCAGAATAGGCCATGCCCGGGCCCCAGTGCCAGGTCCAGGGGACATGGCTGATGCTGCAGGGAGCTCCGAGGGCCCCACCGTGGCTGCAGAGAAAGGGACGGCATTAAGGAAAGGCCCCACATGGGCTCCCTGGGAAACCCCAAAGAAGCACAGACGGGGTCCTTCTCCAGCCCAGCAGCTAAGTGGAACCCAACACCCCCCCGTCAGCCTCCTCCAGCTCACTCACTTAGGTTTGCCTCACTCATGGAGGGGCAGAACGACAGCCACAAGCCTTAGCCTTCGCCAGGTGGCTCCGGGGCACAGAGTCCTGGAACACACACACACATGGGTGTCGGGGGCAGCTAGCTTACAGGGGCTCCTCCCAGGCCACACTCACAGCCACATCAGGGCACCCCATGAACTCTGGAGGCGGGCGCCGAACCGCCATCTGCAGGAGCCCGTGGCACTCCTTGTCTGTAAGGAGCACTGCGAGGTGCAGCTCTGGAAGCGGCTGAAGAAACGAACTGATGCTGTGACTTCCTGACGCCACTGAGGACTCAAGCACCAGGCACCATGCTCACGGAGCCCCGCAGTGTGGACATAAACACTATCCTCTGTAGAGGAAGACGCTGAGGCCCCAAAGGGCAAACTAGCTCAGCCTCCGACACCAGGGCCCAGGCACAGTCAGCTACGCTGCTTGGTAAGCTGAGGGTGGGAAATTGGGGCAGGTTGTCCTGCCTCCCAGCAGCTGTGCAACAGCAACTGCTTGGAGCTAACGAGCCAAAGTGGAGGATGCTGCCAGTCCCCACCCAAGGCCAGGGGGCCCAGATGCAGCCAGAGCAACCCTGGGCCCTCTGCTCCTGAGCCAGGAGCCCCTGTTACCCCACCTCTACCCTCAGCCCTTCAGGCACAGCCCTGTCCTTTCACCTCTGCTCCTAGAGGCAGGGAGGGAGGGGAGTATTGAGGGAGTAGCCAAGTGAAGATCACCTGAGACAGGAAATTTTGGGGGTGAGAATCACTAGGGCTGGGGAGGATTTGGAGGAGGAACACCTAAACCAAGGGAGTGTCTGAAGGAAGATCATGCGGGCTTGGAATCCCTGCAGGAGGAGCACCTGAATCAGAGGAGTGCCTGGCGGAGCAACACCTGAATCTGGGGAAGGCCTGGAGGAACAGCATCGAGGCTAGGGCAGTACCTTTTGGAGGGACAGCTAGGGCTGGAGATCATCTGCAGGTGGAGCACCGGAATCGTAAGAGCATCTGGGAGGAGCAGCCAGGCTGAAATCACCTAGAGAGAAGCATGTCATTTAGGGGAGTACTCGGCCATATTTTCTAATACCTGTATCTTAACCATGCCCTCCCTCCTCACCTCCAACCTGTCACCAGGCCGCATCAGTTCTTCCTCAGTAAATACCTCTGCCATGACTCTGCCCCTCCTCTGCTCCCTGCTGTCACTGCCTCAGTCCAGGCCAACTTCCCCTCCACTCTTGCAGTGACCTCCTCACTGGTCTCTCCCCACCTCTAGTCCATGCCCCAGGCAGGTGGGCCTAAAGATCAAACCTGACCCCATCACTCCCCTTGTTCAAGAGCTTCACGGGCCCTTAGGACTGCATGCAGACTCCTCAGCACATCCTTGAAGGCCTCACAGTCTAGCACAGGGCAAACTCCTCTAGCTCTTCTCCACAGTTCCCTCCCCCTCGCACCCCCACACACACCCATACACACACACATACACACACACGTACACACACAGCCTCCCACCTCCGTGTGTCCCAGCCACACCCTCCTCAGTGTTTTCAGTCTCCCATTCTTCAAGGCCAAATCAACTATATCTGCCTAGAAGGTCATCCCAGGAACCCCAGTGACCCCCTTCACTGGCCTACCCAGGCGATAACCAGTCAGAATTGGCCAGTTCCTAGATGGGCAGCTCCCTGGGAACAAACTCAGGGTTGATTCACCTGTGCTGGCTGTGGCAGAGAGCGTGGCACTCAGCTGCTCAGTCCGCGGCTATGAGAAAGGAGAGGTCAGCCATCACTCACACATTCATTAGCAAACATCTCCTGGGTGCCTCCTGTGGGCCCACACCAGGCACTGGATCTTCAAAAAGTAAGCTTTTCTTAAAGTGAAATGAATTTGACCTTTCTAAGATTTTACCCGTACTCCCTTCCTTCCTGCCCTGTCCCTGTGAACTCTTCCCAAGGACACACACACACACACACACACAGACTGCTACCCTGCTCTCTCACATGATCTTTGCGGGTATACACACCCCACCCTAATTTGTAGCTCCTTTCCTGTTCCCAGGAGCCCTCAGGCATCTGTGGGTTTTCTCCTCCAGTCCCCACTCTGACCCCCACCTGTAGGAAGTGTGCACAGTCCGCGGAGTTAGCTTCCGGCTGGGGCGGGCGGGACCTGGACAGGTGGGTGGACCAGAGCTGAGGCTTGACTCACCTGCAGACCGGCCTAGCAGGCAGGCGGGGCCAAAGCCACGGGTGAGGGCAAAGGACTGGCCGCCAGCAACACCTCCAATAGGAAGGACTGTTTCTACATCGTCCTAAGGTTTTGTCAATAACCTTATGGTTCAGGCCTCACCCCCACACCCAGTGCCAGGGGAGCAGGGTTGCAGCAACTGGTTTCCAGAGAGGGGTCCAGCAGGCCCCAGTAGGGGCAGATGCCTCAGCACACAGCTGCTCAGGCCAGCGGCCCTGATAAGCAAGTGAATTTCCCATGACAGGTACAAAGTCCAGAGTTGAAAGGGGAGCTTTGCTGGTCTGTGAAGGCAGTGGGCCGGAACTAGCGGGGAGAAGGGAGGGCATTCTTCCCAAGCAAAGCCAGAAGAACCAAGGACACTCACAATTGCCTGCAAAAGTATGTAAGCGTGTGTGTGTGTGTGTGTGTGTGTGTGTGTGTGTGTGTGTGTGTGTGTGTGTGTGTGTGTGCCGTGCACACTTAGGTTGGGGGGAAGGTGGGGAATGTGGAGGTCAATGGGGAATGTGAGTTCAGAAGCCTTTTGGAGAGTATATGTGCTCTTGGGGATTATGTGTGTGTGTTTACCTGTATAAAAGATTCAAGCCTTCTTCTGAATCTCAATTCTGTGAGTACACAAAGCTAAGCTCTGAACCTCTCCCTTTTGCCTTATCCCTTCTTCCCCCACAGTGACCTCTTGTCCTTTAAGTCTTAGTTCAGAAATCACTTCCCTGAACCAGCAAGCCCCACCTCTGCCAGGCCCAGAGCACCATCTGTGGCATCATTTCTGTTATCTTGTAATTGTTTCTTCCTGTCCTACCTCCCCCATTCGCCAGGGAGCTCTCCCAGGGTGGAGCCAGGTTCTCCAGTCTGGGATCCCAGCACCAGACACGGGGCAGCTCTCAGTAAATATCTAAGGTTAGAAGCGTTGCATGAGCTAAGCCATGCAGACACAAGACTTCACAGGCACCCAGAGAACATTGCCAGAGCTGTGTGTGTGTGAGGGGCTGGTGGGGGGGCTGGAGGGGCACAGAACTGCGGCTGGTAGGTGCAGGCCGGTTCATTGGAGTACCTTGAATATTTAGCATAGGAGTCCGAACTCCTGTCACCGTGGCCTCTTCCTAACTCTACACTTGACACTCTGCTCAACCACACCAAACTGTTCTTGATTCCTAGAGCTCACCATGCTGCTTCACCTCCCAGGATTTGCACGCACTGTTTCTGGGATCCCCGCATCCACCAACCCTCTCCTCCAGCACCTCCCCTGACATGCCTGTCTCCCACCTGGCTGATGATTCCTCCTCAGGCACCAGCTCAGGTGCCTCTTAATCTGACGGGCCTCTCATGACCTGACCCTGGGTCACTCCTCCCAACCTGTCCGCACCCTCCGACCCCCTGCCCTGACCGCATGGTGTTATGATTTTATTTGGCAGAGTTCCCTAGAAGCCTGTAACTCTGTGATTAGGGTCTGTGTCTGTCTTATTCCCCTTCAAATCCCCAATATCTAGATCAGCAACAATAAGTACTTCTGAAATAAATGAATAAGAAGAAAGTGACTATTACCTGGATGGGGCAATGAGGAGCCAAGCAAGTGTTGGGTTTTGCTCTCATTTTGAAGTAGGGACAATCATAGGATTCAAAAGATATTAACTGACCACCTACCATGTCCCAGGCACTGTGCCAGTCTTTTATTGAGGTATTCACATAATATAATCCAATTCACCTAACAAAAAATTCACGGTTTAGACATTTTCAGTGCATAATTTAGTGCATTCAGAATGTTGTGCAACCATCCGTCTAGCTAGTGTTAAAACATTTCATCACACCAAAAGGATACCCATTAAGCAGGCACTCCTCACTCCCCCGCTCCCCAGCCTCCAGCAACTGCTAATCTGTTTTCTGTCTCTATGGATTTGCCTATCTTGGATATGCCACACAAATAGAATCATATGTGTGCCAGCTTTCTGATGAACCATTTCATTTAATCCTCATAACTGTCTATGAGATAGATGTTAATTATCCCCTTAACAGATGATGCAAATGAGGCCAGAAGGTAATTTGCGTGAAGTCCCATAGAAAAAAGTAAGTGAAGGTCTGCACAGCCATCATCAGTCCTTCATGCAATGAATATTCATTAAACGCCCACCACAGAGCCACAGCCAGCCCATGTGGTGCGCATTGCAAAATCACAGAAGGCAACCTGCTGGATCCCCACCCCCAACCCCACAGCATGGAGAGCAGAAAGCAGGCTGGATATCAGCACTTGCCCCTCAGCCAGGAGTTCTCGTGCAGTGAACAACATTTACAACTGTAAATCCAGGGAGGGGAAACCCTGGGGGAAAATGCTTTTGAACCCGAAATCAGCCAAAGGGAGAAATAAAGTTTAAAACCCATTTCTGCTTACAAGGAGTCATCCCACATCTCTCTTCTGCTGTGGCAGAAGCAATGGAATATTCCCCCCAACCTCTCAGGTCCAGATAAACCTTGCTGGCCCATGTAATTACCCATTGATATGGAGATGGACTACTTCTCTCCACCCCTTGGAAACACCTGTTGATATGGAGAGGCACTAAAGCCAGGCAAGAGATTCTGGAAATATTGCAATTTTATCCACAACAATCTTCCCTGGCAACACCAGAAACTGTGTGGTAAGTTCTGTGCTAGCTGCTGGGACAGAGTTCCTGCCACCATGCAGCTTTCATTCTCTGGGGACGATAGACAAAATATAAGTAAAGAAATAAATAAGATTATTTCAGATAATGGCAAGTGCTATGAAGAAAATAAAATAGTTTCATGTGATAGGGAGTTGTATGGGCAGCTGATATTTCACATTAGAGAGTCATAAAAGGAGGGGACTCATTAAAGAGGACTGTTTGAGCTGAAATCTGAATAAGAGTGAGGGAGCAAGTATGCCAATATCTGGGGGAAGAGCATCCCATTAAAAGGGAAGAGCGAGGACGAAGGCCACGAGGCAAGGGCATGTCTGGCTCGGCCAAGCAACAGAAAGGAGGCAGCTGGATGGAGTGAAGTAAGTGGGAGAGATGGAGGGGCTGCATGAGCGGCCTGCCAGGGGCCAGCTCACACGGGACCTCAGCCCATCCTTCTGTCAGTGAGACAGGCTGCCCTTCTTTGGCTTCTGTGTGAAGAATGGACTACAGGGAGCCAGGGTAGAGGCAGGGAGGCCAGTTAGGAGGCTGGGACTGTCATCCTGGAGAAAGAAATGTGGCATCAGGATAGTCAGGTAGAAATGGGGAGAAGGGCCCAGATTCTGGACATATTTCGAAGGTGACTAGATGTGGGGATGGAGAAAAAGAAAAAAACCAAGCATAACTCCCCAATTCTGACCTAAGCAATTAGTGGGATGGAGTTGTCACTAAAACAGGAAGACTCTGGAAGGGACAGATTTGGGAAGGCAATCAGGACCTCAGTTTTGGACATGTTGTATGTGAGTTGCTGGTGAGACATCCAGGTAGCGTACTAACTAGGCAGCTGCACAGACTAGCCTGAGTGCTGTAGAAGGAAAGGACTAGAAATATTAATTGAGAACAAGCAAAATGTGGAGGACTTTTAAAGCCAGTCATCTAGGTGAGATGCCCACCCGCTGGACCCAAAGAGAAGTGGGGAGAGAGAACAGGGCTGAGAGCTGAGCCCTGGAGCACAACAGGAGCAGAGGAGGAGGGTGGGGGGAGGAGACGCAGGAGAGGGGACCACGGGTGGCCAGCGTGGCAGGAGGTAGACACGTGAAAGAAGTGTCCTGGAAGCCAGAGGAGAACATTTCAAGGGCAAGGGCTTGGTCAGCTGCACCAAATGCTGATGGTACATCAACCAAGATATGGACTGAGAATTGACTTTGAGACTGGCCACGTGGAGGTCCCTGGTGACCTTGACAAGAGAAGTTTCACTGATGTCTTGGGACAAGTGCCTGACTGGGCCTGATGTATGATTTATGAATAATGCCTGGTATGGGGGCAGAGGAACTGAGACAACTCTTTCAATGAATTTTGCTTAAGAGGAGCAGAGAAGTGGGGCAGACACTGGAGGTGGGTGTGGGATCAAGGGAAGGGGTTTTTTTTATGACTATGAGCTTTTAGACCACATGTATATGCTGGTGTGAATAATTCAGAGAGAAAATCATGCCAGAGTTCCTGTTCACGGAGTCAAAGAATGAACTTCGCAAACACTCAAGGCAAGAGAGCAAGGCAGAGGCTTTTATTTAGAGATAAGGTGAGAAGACAGAGCTCCTGGCTCATGCCAGGAGGGGACAAAAGAGCCCCGCCATGGTGCGTTGTCTAGGGGATTTATAGGCTGTTGAGAGACAAAGGGCTAGGGATGCACACCTGCTAAGTGGTTCCAAAATGTTTATCTTTGAAGAGACGTTATTAAGTTTCTTATTAATCTTCCTGTTTATTTACAAGAAATTAATTGCTCTGATTTCCTCCCAGGATAGCTGCTTCCTGGTTTGGGAGCATATCACTCAAGACTGCCTGCTTTGCTCCCAAGGTGGGCTGAGTTATTGTCTGTTGTTAAAGAGTGTGTTAAGAAACTTCCTTTTTAACTAATTGGGTTTTAAAATGCAGTATTATTTTCAAGATGGAATCTTTCCCGTTTTTACGATGTTGTTTTGGGCTTGCTTGCTACATTGCCCAGGTTGCAAATCACTTGACTAGGGCTGGAGGAAGAAGAGCAGCACCCGGGTAAAGCTAGAAAAATAAGCTGGGCCCCCAGCAGGCCAAAGCAAATCTCATAATGCATCATCTTGCTTTGTTTTTTGCGGAGGTCCTCACCCTACTCCATCTAAGCCCACCGTCCCTGTCTCAAAAGGAAATTGATGACACAGAAAGAAGAGACAGGGGCAAATGGAGTGTGAAGTCCTTAAAGCGCTAAGGGGTGTGGGGTCAGGTGCACAGGCGGAGGGCTGGCCTTGGCGGGAGCAGGGGTGTCCCTCTGAGGAAGGCAGAGTGTAAGCGAAGAGCTGGGAGCTTTAGGGAGTTTTCTTCCGTTGCCCTCTGTGAAGAGTGAAGAGTGGCAGAGGAAGGGAGGTGCTGGGGTTCAAGGAAAGAAAGCAGGTGTGAATTCGTTATCCTGAGCCAGCTGAGCAGGTGATAGGCTTACCAGGCAGCATCAAGGCCCTTTGAGGTGAGCGGCATGAATTTAAAGTCAGACGAGTTGGGGGTGGCCGAGTGTTTTGTTTTACAGACACTCTAGGTGCAGGTGGAGAGAAGATGGAGAGCGGGATTTAACCAGGACTGGGCATTTGCCTGGCAAACCTGAGAAAGCCGGAGAAGGGCGAGAGAGCTGAGCTGTGGGCAGTGGAGCAGCCGCCATCATGGCCCCGGAGATCTGAGCTGGGGAACGCGGAAAGTGAGGGCAGGGTGGGAGAGGTGTGAGGAGCCCTGGAAGAGTGCTGAGGTCCATTTGGGAGCAACTGCTGGTGCACTGGAGTGAGCCGGAAATTAGAAGGTGGTGGAATATGGCAATGGAGGTTACTCTGAGGATGCAGGTCTGGTAACAGACAAGCCATAGACTATGAACCATGGAGTGGTACTGAGGTGGGAGCCTGCAGATGAATGGCTGTTTTCCTATTATCCAAAGCATATTAACTCAACCCTCAAAATCAGAGGTCTAATGATAACACGCTAATAGCTCTTTTAGCAAATGGCAGAGTCGGAATTCGAACTCAGTTCTTTTGACTAGGTCCAGCACCGCCAGTTATATCGCAGCTACATCCCTCTGCTTCTGCAAATAAGAGTTACCATCAAGGCGTTCAATTCCTCACAATCATTTGGAGTGACAGCAGTGGCTTCTTTTCAAAGATTTTATTATATTTCCCAAGGGAAACTCAGGGTGCCGCTACTGGAAACAGGGAACAGATGCTGAGGAAGCACAAGAATGAGGTGTCCTGGCCCCACCCCACACCCACTCCCTTCTCCAGCTGACCCAGCCCCTCCCTGGGGCCAACTAGGGGGCCTAGCGTTGGGGGAGTTGTAGTCCCCTCTTGAAAAGCTGAAGAGAGCAGGAACATGTCTGGGTACCCCATCATGAACAGAGCCCCTGGCACTCGTGCTTTCTCTCTCTCTCTGTCTCTCTGTAGGATAAGAACTGGTGTTTGGCCTCTGTGCTCCCTGTGCAAGAAGCTCTGCTCGATTGTAAACAGATGGATGCCTCCTCTGGGTAGTTAGAGGACCCCTTGTTTGCAAGCTCTGGAGGGGGGCTGCCCATTCCCTGCTGCCAGTCACTTCCAGCTCCCAGAGGTGGAGTCAGCACCTCCTTAGAACCACCCTGCACTCTTTCTCCATCATTCATCCCACCTTTCCCAGAGGCTGGCCTTTCCCCATTCCTGGTCTGCCAGTGCTGGCCTCCCAGGCCGGCCCCAGCATTTGGAGCATCCCCAATGTAGCCCCCGTGGAAACTGGGCCCACAGCTTGGGGGAAATGAGCCCTCTCACCCAAGCATCCCTGAGAAGTCACACAGTTCACTGAAGCAAACCCCAGGGATAGATTCCCAGCAGAGCTTCCCGGGCCTGGACCCGAGACTAGGGGATGCCTGGAGATAGCAGCTTCTAGGGTTTCCTCATTTCCTCAAGGCGGACAGGCCTGTCTGGGCTGTGGTGCTCCACGAAGCCATGAGGGAGAGCTTACCAAGCCTCTTACATCCCCAACACACACCCTGAAATTCCATTATAATTGCTTCACATGGTTGCAACATTCAAGTTCACAGGACAACTTCTTCCCAAGCCAGCAGTCTCATCCATCTTGCCACACTGGATATACAGACGTTGCATGTGCCCAGAGTAATGGGGTAGCAGGCTGTGCCCCACCCCCCGTGATCAATTATCTCTGGGGTAACTGGGTCTAGGAGAAAAGAGCTCAGCACACCTGACAGGGGACTGCCACATCCTCTCCTGAGGGCTGTCATGGCCAGGGAAGTGGCCAAAGGTGGCAGACCCGCTGCCCCGAGCAGCCCCATCATGCTGCCCCTCCCTGCCTCCCTGGGTCCCTTGCAATGGGAATAACTGCCTCCCCCACATTCTTGCTTTCTCATGGGGGTCTGATGAGAAAGGGGAAAGGAGGCAAGTCGGGGCTCAGCTGAGGCCCCTGGAGGGTTGCTCCAGTTCCTGCATGGAAAGCCTGTGGTGACAGGTGCCACTTGAGCTGGGAAGGAGACGTCTCTCCCCATGGGAGCAGGGAGCCCACCCCTCAGTGCACTTGCACAGGTGTCCCTTCCTGGGGGCGGGGTGGGGAGCAAGGGAGGAGCAGGCAAAGCGCCAAGGTGCCTACAGGAAAAAGGGGTGAAGAAGATGGGAGCTGGGGCACTGCCTGCACAGGTTTCCTTATCATCCCTGTGTCCCCACAAATAAGTCAGAGGACCCAATGTACTTGGCGCTGTCACAACCTCTTATACAATGATTTAAGTGAGATTAAACGACCAGGAAGCAATCCCCAGGGCTCACCTAGGTTGTGGATCTTGCAAGGATGTGTGGCTGAGGCGTGGGCTGGCAGCTTCCTCTCATAAAATGTGCATTGTATTCCAAGTAGGCGTGCTGTCGTTGGAGGCAGAAGGGCAAGGAGTCATCTGTGTGGTGCGCTATTGGTTCTAGGATTTCAGAGTGACCTGAGGTGAAGCAAGGACCTGCTGTACCTCAGACCCAAGACACCCTGGAAAGTCCTGCCTGCCCACCCCTGCTGGTCCACCCTTGCCTGTTTAAAGGGCCCCATTTGATCATAACCCAGCACAGAGTTAAACCCATTATTTTTCCAGAATAAAACCTCTAATGCTTTCTGAACACTTAAGGGTTGGCTTTCTTAAATCATTTTTAAAAGAGAGTTTGGGGGATGATGTGTAAAGACAGCTTCAGCCTCCCTGTGAATGTGGGCAGAGACCTGAACTGCTGGCTGTCCAGGTGGGACAGTCCAGCAGGCCTGATGCAGAGTTCAACTCACTGGCTGGGGTCAGAGCTGAGCTCTCCCACTGAAGCCATGTTAAGAAACATGGGTTTCTTCACCTGTAAAATGGGATGATAATAATGAAACCTGGCTCAACAGAGCCCATGAGGAGGCGTCAGCCCCTCTTCCTGGCACCTGTTAATGTCCAACAGCTGTTAGTCATTGTGAGGTCTGTTGGTGAGACCTCTGCTTGCATTACTGGGTAAGTAGCATCTGACCAAGATCAGTAAAAGCCTGTTATTCTTTAAGTAGGTCCTGAGCTTTGAACTGTCTGAACCCTCTGTGGAGTATTGATTCCAGCTTCTGGCCCCAGAGCGTTCCTTGGGGCCAAATGGCCTTTGTCAAGCAGTTTGTATAAAAGGGACTTCATTCAGAACCTTGGTGGATAAACTGGGGCTTCCTTTAAATAAGTGCCTGTTTTCAACAGCTTTATTTTTCCAACAGGGAAAAAGAATACAATGGATTCCAAGTAATCTACCGTCCTCATCACAGCTTGTCACAAACACCTGGTGCATCTTTTCAGCCCAGCGTGAAAACACACACGTGTGATCACTCGCTCACTGACTTCAGGAACACAGCCTCAGCCCCACATTCCAAGAGCATTTGCTGAGAAACTTCCTCTCACTGTAGTCATTTCCCCGGAAGAACAGCAAAAACTGTTTTTGACCTGACAGTATGGCTTTCATTGCTGCTGAAGTTAAGTGAAAGTACCATTGTTAATATTAACCCTAAAAATTTTTTTCTTAAATATTTTCTTTCTCTTCTTTTTCTTTGCTCATCAACCTAAAGAATAATTTATTGGTGAAATCCATTTTGGGCAAAGACAGGATTTAAGAATTGTCAGGACAATTCAACCAAAAGAAAATTTCATAATGTTTAGGCAACATTTTACTTGGTTCTTCCAAAAGCAATTGTGACAACCAGTAGAGAGAGTTAAAGCACTTACAGAATATATAAAGACAACAGCATTTGGGGGTGCACATAACAAAGAAATATCTTAAATACTTTTCAAAATATTCTAGGAGCCAAGACACAAGGGTGTGCTTCAGGAGAACACAGGAATGTAATGGGGTGGGGGAGGTGAGGAAGCATATTGGAACTACTTTTTTTAAAATCACTGCAGAAAACAAAGCAGCATTCAACTTCACATACTGAGTTTATACAGTTTCTGTATAAAAGCTTAACTGGAATCCAAGAAACAAGGATGGAACTCTCACTCTGTTTATTTTGAAAAATAATTGCACAGACATCCAGATAATCCACCCCGGTCTGGCAGGTTACCTTGGGAGGAGCCTCTGTTATTCCAAGAGGACCAATTTGACACTCTTATTCAGATGGCCTTTGAAGGGCAACTTGGAGACATTAATTTTCTGCCCCCTCTGTTGACCCAGCCTTAAATTTCACTAGCAGTTTTTTGTGTGTGCATGATTGCATAACAGTTTCATCCAAATGCGTCTCAATTCACCACCATTTATGCAAGAGGACTGTGGGCCTTGTCTACATTAAAAATTAAATAGAATTCATGGGCATTTGCAAAACAGCCCGTCAAATGCTTCCACAAATATTTACATGCAACCTAAAACCCTTGGAGCAGTTTAAGAAGCCATATGGATGAGAAACAAAAGCAAAAATAAACAAGTGGGACTACATCAAACTAAAAAGCAGCTGTATAGCAAAGGAAACCATCAACAGAACAAAAAAGCAACCTACAGTATGGGAGAATATTCATAAATTATATATCCGATAAGGGGTTAACGTCCAAAATATATGAAGAACTCATAGGACAGTATCAGAAAAACAACCCGATTAAAGTATGGGCAGAGGACCTGAACAGACATTTCTCCCAAGAAGACATAGAGATGACCAACAGGCACATAAAAATATGCCCCACATTGCTAATCATCACGGAAATGCAAATCAAAACCACAATGAGGAATCACCTCACACCAGTCAGAATGGCCACCATCCCAAAAGACAAAATAACAAGTGTTGGTGAGAATGTGGAGAAAAGGGGAACCTCCTGCCTGTCAGTGGGAATGTAAATTGGTGCAGCCACTATGGAAAGCAGTATGGAGGTTCTTTAAAAAAAAAAAATCTCTGATATGGAAAGATATGTGCCTCCCTACCTTTATTGCCACATTATTTACAATAGCCAAAATATGGAAGCAACTAAAATGTCCATCGGTAGTTGAATGGATAAAAAAGATGTGGTACATATACACAATGGAATATCATTCAACCACACACAAAAAAGAAACCCTGCCATTTGTGACATGGATGGACTTAGAGGGTATGATGCTAAATGAAAAAAGCCAGGGTGGAGAAAGACAAATACTGTATAATTTCACTTACACGTGGAATCTAAAAACAAAACAGAACAAGAAGAGATGCATGGACACTGAGAAGTGACTGGTGGTTATCACAGGGGAGGTTGGGTGGGTGGGTGAAATAGGTGAAGGGGATAAAGAGGCACAAAATCTCAATCATGATACAAATTAGTCACCGGGATAAAAATGCAGCCAATGGTTCTGTAACATCTTTCTGTGTTGACAGTAACTACACTAGTTAGAGTGAGCATTTAATAATATATATAACTGTTGAATCACTATGTTGTATACTTGAAACCAACATCATATTGTGTATCAAATATACTTCAATAAAAAAAATTTTTTTTAAAGCAGCAGCAGCAGCCACATGGAAGCCCATGGAAGCTCATGGAAAACCATGGAAGGGATATGAATCAGTTTGCTGTCTGAGACCCCTGCTGGGGAGGCTGGTGGACCTTGGAGCGTGGGGCTTTTCTGTCCCTCTTGAACATGAGGATCACCTGGACAATGGTGGGCCCAGCCCATGAGGGTGACCATAGGGAATGGGTCTTTACTTAACCAAAATAAAAGAAAAATCAAGAAAATATGCTCTGGCTGGTTTGCAGCTGAGCACTCACTCCACAGTGACACTCAAGCTCCTGGGGCCTCTCACGTGTAGTAGAACCTTGCTGCCCTTTTTTTTTTAATCAAGGAAATAAATATGAAGAGCTGATTTACCTTTATTTCAAATTAATTTTTTTTATTCTCAAATAGGTAATATGAATCAGAGATCAGCAAACTATAAAAGATATACAGTGAAAGTTCTCACTCCCAGCCCGCTGCTCCCATCTACCTTGTCCTTCTTAACCCAAATGATGACTTTTATTAATTTGCCAGCTTCTTTATGCAAATACAAGCCTCATGAGTATATATTTTCTCCTTTCTTAGGCAAAAGGCATTGTACTACACACAGTTCTGCATCTTATTTTTTTACTTTTTAATGATTTTTCACTTTTCACTATTTAGATGATTGTGTCTCAGAGACCTTCTTAAAATCAGTATAGAGACTCAGAATCCTTCAACCATCTTTAAAGCTGCATAATATTCCAACATGTGGCTATCTCAGAATTCTTTTAACCAGTCCCATGATGATTGACACTTGGTTGTTTCCAACCAGCTTGCCATTATGTGTAGTACTGCAATGCATGAAACTGTGAACATTTTATGCTGTATCTGTAGGATTAAGTTAGCAAGGTATGAATCAGAGAGTAAATGTATTTGTGATTCTGACAGATATTCCCAAGTTGCCTTCTCTTGGAGTCATACCAACATGTGTTATATACAAGCATACCTGTTTCCTCATAGCCTCAAGGCTGTGGGTGTAAAATGTGGATTTTTGCCATATGGATGGGTGAAAATGATAGTTAGGAAGAGTTTTGCAGTATTTGTACTGCAAGTGAGGACATGGTTTCACAAGTTAGCCATTTGTACTTCCTTCTCTATAAACTTTCCATAATCACGAAATTGTGTGTTAATACATTATTTTTTTCATAATCTTTGCCCATTTATGTATTGGATTTTATGTGTTTTTATTGGTTTCTAATATGTAAAGTGAATTACAAATATTTTGAAATTTGTCTCTTATTTCTGCCTTTCAGGTTTCTTTATAAGTAGTAATTTTGGTTAATGTTTTAATGTTTTCTTTTAAGGTCTGTGAATTTTGAGGCTTACTTAGAAAGTTAACCAATCCAAAGGTGTAAGGGAATTCACCCATGCTTTCCTCTAGTTCTTCCATGGGTTGGATTATTTATGTTAAGTCAGACCTATCTGGAGTTTATCTTGATACATGATATAAAGTATAGATCCAATTTTACTTTTTTCAGACAGTTACCAATTGTTGCAGTACCATTTATTAAGACTTTTCCCACTGATTTGAAATGCCACTTTTTTTGTGTGCTAAATTCCTGTACATATTTAGGTCCATTTCTGGACTCTCTCTTTTATTGGTCTATTTTGTGCCAGTATCACACATCGTGTTACTGAGATTTTTATATAGAATGTGTTTATGTTCTGGCAAATATTGCTGTGAAATAAATGACCCCAAACCTTAGTCATTTAAAAGAACAATTGTTTTATCATACCTCATAGTCTCTGTAAGGCAGGAATTCAGAAAGTCTCGGCTGAAGGTCATCAGGTAGTGGCCAGAGCTGGACGGGTGTGGAAGGGAGGGGATGGAGCAGCCGGGAGCTGGCCCACATCTCCTCACGCGCCCCAAAGGCTCTCTAAGTGGGTCTCTCTGCAGGAGCTAGCCGGGGCTTCCGAGCAGCATGGTGGCTTCGGGGAAGTCAGACTGTTCAAGTGGCAGCCCAGCATCACAGGACAAGTGCTTCTGCCAACAAACTAAAAGCTGCCTTACCTTTCTGACTCGTGCAGTGTCATATTCTCTGCATATGTTTGGTTATAAGTGAGTTAATCCCAACCAGATTCAAGGAAATGAGGCATGATCCCACCTCCCGGTGGGACAATGTCAACATCATTTTAGAAGAAAAATGTGGAATGGAAGATACTGTTATGGCCAATCGGGGAAAAGATCTGCCACACTTTACCTTCTGATAGAACTGGAATCCCCTTCTTTGATCTACTTCAGAATTTTCCTGAATATTCTTTCCAGGAGAAAATTCTGCTTTCAAATGGCCTCTTTAGGAATCCAATGCTTCAGGTAAATTCACTGATAATCATGTATTAACCTTTTATCATTTTCATAAAGTACATTTAGTTCTAACTATGGATAAGCTCTCACTATCAGATGTGATTCATTTCTGAAAATGTGCTTTTAAAAAACCAAACAATAGGGATGACTGTTGTGTTTGGAGGGGGAGGGGATGATTCTAAAACAAAAGGTATTGTCCCTGACCCATGTGGTAATGAATTAGAATTGGAGACATCTTCATGATTTCATTAGCCTAATATAAATGCAAATTGTTAATATAAAAAATATTATAGATGTACTTACATGCACAAGTTGCTATAAACACATATTGCCTGGCTTTGTCAGCAGAGAGGGCCTAGAAGCAATGACACCCCAGTAGCAATGAACAAAACTGGAATCCATTTTTTGGTTTCTAATATCATTGTGAAATAAGAGAAACCAGGGCTCTACAGAGAGATGGCTTATTCTAAGACTAGCACAGGAAATACATAAGATGAGCCTAGAGCATCTTGTTAGTGCCAGGAAGTAAGGAAGTGCTATAAAACAAAACAGCAACAAAAACAAAAAACCCTACATGGGTGGGGATATGTCAAAGGAACACAAGAACCAATTGGAAGAGCTCCCAATGGCCAAAGCTGGATGATTTGAGCAACAACATATAATAAAGTAGTATTAGATTATAGCCCAATGTATGAAATAATTATCTATGAGTCCACAGTAATATAAATAAGT